AGTACATGAAATGTGGCTAGTCCGAATTAAGATGTGCAGTAAGCGTTAAATACATTCCAGATTTCAAAGATTTAGTACGAAAAAAATGCAAAAATACATCTCATTAATAATTTTTTATATTGATTACATGTTGAAATCTTAATGTTCTGTATTTTTACTGGGTTATTTATATTATTAAAATTAATTTCACCTGTTTCTTTTTACTTTTTTAATGGCACTTCTATAAAGTTTAAAATTACATACGTGGTTTGCATTTTATTTCTGTTAAATGACGCTGTTTTAGGTAGGAAGTGTGACAAGAATTCAGAGCAGGGAACAGTTGCTATGGACTTGAGTCATCAGTGAAGTCTTCTCAGAGAAGGATAGGATTTCAATAATGAAGAAGTTGGAGGAGGAAATTTCAGTGGAAAGGAGCATCAATACTGAAATATAAGATAGTCTAGCGGACGGAGCCCTGGTGGCGCAGTGGTTAAGAGCTCAGCTGCTAACCAAAAGGTCAGCAGTTCAAATCCACCAGCTGCTCCTTGGAAACCCTATGGGGCAGTTCTACTCTGTCCTATAGTGTCGCTATGAGTCGGAACCGACTTGACAGCACCTAACAACAACAACAACAGTCTAGGGGACAGAGTAGACTGGTCTAGGTTGAATCATCGACTCCTGTAGGGGAGAAAAGCTTCCTGGATAGGTTGCGATCAAATTGTGAAGAGCTTTGAGTGCCAAGAATTTGGACTGTTTCCTATAGGCAGTGAGCCCTTCCCGAGAAGAAAATAAGACTTTGCCTAGTCACTGATAGAATGACCTGAATTAGGCACTTTCTTCACTTGAAACAGAGCAGCACAAGCTTCTGGAAGCTCTGCCCAGGGAGCAAGCAGACAGTACTAGGCCTATGTGTGAATTTAGAATGACGTGTACAGAGTGTGATCTTGTAGTTGATTGACTTATTTTAGGGGGTGAGGTGAGGCAAATTTAAGTGCATTAGAATAACGTCACCCGGAAGAGGAGGAGAATCCAGAAGGTGTACCTGTGTAATGGCTTGTAGGGACCAGCGGTGAAGTCGTCCCTTTACCTCGGTACATTGTTTTATGCATGTGCCTAATCCAGTCATTTCTTCTGTCTTTCTTTCAGTTTGTCTATCTTCCTTTATTTTTCTGGATGTTTATAGAACTCTCCCTATATGTTAGGGGGGTATCATCTAGTTCTGAGGAAATGAGATGAAAAAACCACTGAGGTGGGAGTTAAAACCCCTGGGTTTGTATCCAGACTCACCAAGTAACTCCTTGAGTCACTTTGGTCACATCTCTGGGATTTGGTGTCTTTAGATGTGAAAGCAGAGTTAGAACCGGATGAGACCAAGACATCCTCCAGTTCTATGATTCTAGAACAGGTCTATGTCACAGAGGATACTACAGCAACCAGGTACGAGGCTACCCAGGGACAGTAGGAGGATGCTGGGCCAGTAAGGCAGGCATTGGTGGCCTGTGCAGGAGTTGGGCCAACCCTTTGGATGAGGTTGTCCTCCTCTGAGTAAGCAGGCCCTACTGGAACTGGAACACAGGTAGGTCTATGAGTTTGGTGTTTTGATCCTGGCTACTAACCCTTTCATCCCAGGGTAAGTGGAGCCTGGTGCTAAGGAGATAGAAAGCCGAGAAATTTGGCTCCAGGCAGGTTTGTTTGCTGAAGCTCTCTGTCCGGGGGAAGGAAGGAAGAAAATGAATGTGTACCACTACTCCCCCCCTCATCCCCGATATCCAAGGCCACCTGCAGATGCAAGAGTGGCTGATGGGGGATACGGGGGGAGGGTACCAACTGTTTCTGCTCTTTAGTATTTTTAGAAGACAGAGTGGGCGGAAACAGACCCAAGTAAAGTCCCAGAAACTCAAATACTGACGCACAGGAAAGCCTCAAGTGGGAGGAGAAATGCAAATCCCCTACTAATGATGTCAGCGGCTTTGTACTGGGGACTAGAAGGGTGATTCTGACTTTGGACTTGAGCACTGCCTGGGACCTAGGCTGAGAGAGGGCCAGGTAAGGCGAGCAAACCATACCTTTGCATTGCCTCTCTGGAGGAGAAACAGGCCAGCAAATGCTTATGCGGGATGCTACTGAGGCTTCAGTTTTCATTTGATGTTTTGATAGTTGCTCCATTTTAACCTGAGAAGCGATAATTCTAAAGAGAATTATCTTGCCCAGCTCCAAGATGTGACTATGCGCTCACTCTGGTCTTTTTTAAGAGAGTGCCAGAAAGTCCCCAGGGAGGTCTCCCAGCAGCAGCTCCCTGGCACTCTGCCCTGAAGGCCCTGGAACCCCAGGTGCCTCTGTGAATAGCTGAATGGCAGGGTGGGTGGGAGAGTTGTGGCTGATGTGGAGGTGTGTCCCCACGAAGTGCTGAAAGTGAGCCCCTCTTCGCTTTCTTAGCCAGCTTCTCTAGATCTGTGATGTCTGACATTTGATTCCATGCCTGGGTTTCAGACAAAAGCCCATACCTAGGGTAGCCAGTGATAGTGGCTTTGATGAGAGCAAGTGATACTTAGGGCAGGTCATCTCCTTTGCAGGTTGTGAATCACAGAGCCAACGTGGCACCATTAGCTCCCAGAGAGTGGGACAAATGCCCCTTTTGGGAGATCTGCTTGGGCCAGGCACTCAAAGGGAGCAGACAGGCTCTCAGTTTTCAGAAGAAATGTTTCATAATTTACTAGTGATGAGGGAATTAGCCCTTAGAGAGTGAAAGCAAACAACCAACCAAAAAAAAAAGAAACTGAAAGATGTCTAAAGGCAATTCTAGAGGCTGCAACAGAGAAGAATGTCTTAGGACTATTTACCTTATCAGTCTCTTTTTTCAGCCTTGCGTTCATCTTTCCAGAAGGTTGACTCAGGTCTTATGAGTGATCTAAGTTTAGGATAGGTTCAGCCCAGTTAATTCTTAATTAGAAGTGAGATTTTCATATAAATCATAGCAAGGATTCAACAAGAGTTACAATTAAAATTATATTATTTTTAGCTGTGTTCTCTGTTGTCATTGATAGAGATAAAGCAGGACAATGTTGATAGTAGCATGAGAACAAATGTTCCAATTTTGTGTGGTATATATACATACGTGTATATATGCACCCAGAGCCCTGGTGGCATAGTGGTTAAGAGCTCTGCTGTTAACCAAAAAGGTCAGCAGTTCGAATCCAACAGCCGCTCCTTGGAAGCCCTATCAGGCAATTCTGCTCTGTCCTACAGGGTCACTATGAGTTGGAATTGACTCAGCTGCAACAGGTTTATGTATACACCCAGCATTTGGAAAGACAACTGGGTCTGGCCTTAGGGGACCTCAGCTGGATTCTTAGGAGCTGTATATCTTGGACGGGAGTTGAATTCACCTATTTGATAATCAGGGTTTTTTTGTTTGTTTTTGTTTTTTCATTTTTAAAGTTGGAGTAATACTATCGATTTACCTCATTCATAGCAATATTAGGAGCACCACTCATTATTTAACAGGCACTTACTGAGGGCTTACAATGTACCTATAATTGTAACGTGTAAAGGTCTTTATAAAACATAAAGTGATGTGCAAACAGAGGCATTTCTTTTCCCATTTGCTTTCTCTTTAGAAAAACACTGGCAACAGTTCTATACATTTTAGATCATTTCTAGGGAGCTCAAGAAAAAAGGTGTTAAAAACAGTTATGAAATATATTAAATTTATCATCGGATGTTCTATAGGCAAAAGGAAACATTAAGTTACTACAAGATGTTGTAAAATACTATGGAGATTAATCAGTAAGAGATTGTTTTCTTTGGCCTAGAATTGCTGACAAAACAATAAAAAATTTGACTTTGGGAAAAGTGAAACACTGTATTTTAAATGAGACAATGTCATATTAATTTCCCTGACTTAGGAAATATGTCTAAAGTTTCTAAATGGGCCAGACTGGGGTTATGTAGGGGAAACACATAGTTTTGTTTTATGCCAGGCTGCATAAAGTATATCAAGTGTAGTTTCTTCCTCCGTAAAGTAACTTGAGTGTTTAACCACTGTCCCATTCACATCAGAGACAAAGTAAAAGTTGACTTTAAAAGATTTGCCCAACCATAGTGGATCATCACAGAAAGAAATGAAAAATATTTATTGGTTCCAAGATACATTGAACTGAAAGAACTAGAACCCATGAAAATGTATACATGAAATTCTTCATGGACCTAAGACAGAATTAGACCAGAAGTCTAGAACTTAAAGCTCACTCTAGAAGCTAGACAAACTGAAATAGAGAAAAAAAGGATTGGGCAGTTTCATACAAAAGAAGCTTTTATTGGGTGTCCTGCACATGTAAAGCCTTAAGAAGTTCTTCCAAAAAACCAAACTCGTTGCCATTGAGTTGATTCCAACTCATAGCGACTCTCTAGGACAGAGTAGAACTGTCCCATAGGGTTTCCAAGGGGCGGCTGGTGGATTTGAACTACCGACCTTTTGGTTAGCAGCCGAACTCTTAACCACCAGGGCTCCATAAGTGAGTCTTAGGAAGTATAATAGATGTTAAGTATATGATTTGCCTTAATGTTGCTCAAGTCTAATAGTGTAGAGAGAGCAAAGGATAGAGAAGGAGCTTGTTGAAAATAAATATCTGTGTAGACAGATGAAGGTGGGAAATGATTTTAGGGGTCGAAAGATTCCTGGGGAAGGTGGAACAAGAGTTCTTGTTAGAGCAAGGAAGGATATGTTTTGGTGACGGAGGAAGAAGGCTTTTTCTTTGCATTAGGTATGACTAAGGTAGAAGCTTAGAGGAATTCTATATCTGTGCACTGAAAGCATTTTTTCTTTTCTGTCTTTTTTAATTAAGTGACTATAAAAGAAATTTTTCTCCATTTACTGAACTAGTGGGCAACATTTTCTTCATCTGAAATTTAAGGAAAGAAGAAAGCATGTACCACAGCTATTAATTAACTTTAGTTTAAAACTCTAATTTTACCCTTTCTTTTACAGTATGTCTCAATGGAATCAAGTTCAACAGTTAGAAATCAAGTTTTTGGAGCAAGTAGATCAATTTTACGATGACAACTTTCCTATGGAAATTCGACATCTGCTGGCCCAGTGGATTGAAAATCAAGACTGGTAGGATCAAACATTATTCTATTTTTCCCTATAAGTGGATGCACAAATGGGTTATACTTTATTCATGTAGGTTTCTTCTGTGGTCCACTTGTGACTCAGGAGATGCATTCTTTTCAAGTAAAGAACTTCTTCAAGGATTTGGAAAGCCTTCTCAAAGGAGGAGAAGAATTGCCCTTTCTAGGTTCACCCATTGTAGATGAAAACTGAATAGTTTGAGTGCTTTGTTTTTCTGTAAGCCAAACTTCAACAATTTTTCTATGTATTAATAAGCCAATAATTAAATCTGTTGATATGTATATATACTAGATTAGATAGATAGGTAGACAGACAGACAGAAAGAATGCATGAAAGGAAGAAGGAAAGATGAGAGATCTTGTATTATCAATCATTTAAACTAAATGGTACATTCTTCACTCCCTATACCATCCAAACTGAAGCATCTTTGTGGTCCTAATCTCAAGTCTAAATAGTGGAATTCCAAAAAAAAAGTCATTACTGAACTATCCTGTATCTGGAAAACATAGCCTCAGACCCATTTTAGGGACAATGTATTTTGATAATGTTTTTTCTTGTTGCAATAATTTCTTCTATTAAAAAGAAAGATAAATTATGGGAAACAGTTTTTAAATAGTTAATAAATATTTTTAAATATTTTCTGAGAAAATTATGTTATATGCTTGCTCCATTATATTTTTACATATTCTTCTCTAATGCTGCTACAATCAGTTACTTTTTCATTCAATATATAATATTAGTATGGGCTACATGAGAAGAATCTAAGAATTTGACTATAAAGTATAAACTATTCAGATGAAAATATTAAAAGTAGTCAATGGACTAGACATTTTAAAGTGTCTGGCCAATTGGTGTTACAATGTCCCAATTTGACTCCGTCTTATATTTTCCAAAGGAGATTTTATGAGAGTTCTTAGATAATAGGAAGAAAATTCCTAAAAAACTTAGAATACTTTATTTACTAAAGCAAATCCTCCCTCCCTCCCTCCCCCTTCCTTCTTATCTCCTTCCCTACCTCTCATTCCCTTCCTTCCCCTCCTCCCTCCCTCCCTCCCTTCCTTTTTCTTTCTGTCTAAACTTTATTTATTTTGTTGTTGTTGGGAATATACGCAGCAAAACATACACCAATTTAACAGTTTCTACATGTACAGTTTAGTGACATTGATTACATTCTTCAAGTTGTATAACCATTCTCACCCTCCTTTTCTGAATTGTTCCTCCTTCATTAACATAAACTCACTGCTCCCTAAGATTCCTTCTAATCTTTCTAGTTGCTGTTGTCAATTTGATCCCACATAGGTAGTTCTTGAAAGACCATCATGCTCAAAACCAAATCCAAACTTGTTGCTGTTGAGTCGATTTTGACTCACAGTGACCCTACAGGATAGCGTAGAACTGCCTCATAGGGTTTCTAAGAAGCGGCTGGTGGATCCAAACTGCCAACCTTTTTGGTTAGAAGCTGAGCTCTTAGCCACTTTTAAGATGACTTCAGGGGATATTTTTGGTTTAAGGGTTAAAGATTATCTCAGGGCAATAATTTCAGAGGTTCATCCACCCTCCATGGCTCTAGAAAGTTTAGAGTCCATGAGAGTTTGAAATTCTGTTCTGCACTTTCCATGTTTTGATCAGGATTCTTCCATGGGATCTTTGATCAAAATGTTTAGTAATGGTAACCGGCCACCATTCAGTTCCTCTGGTCTCATGGCAAAGGAGGCAGTTGTTCATGGAGGCAATTAGCCACACATTTCATATCTCCTCCTGTTCCTGACTCTCCTTCTTCCTCTGTTGCTCCAGGTGAATAGAGACCAATTGTTGTGGCTTGGATGGACACTTGTAAGCTTTTAAGACCCCAGGCACTACACAAGGAACTAGGAGGTAGAACAGAAGCACTAAACGCGTCATTAGGCCAATTAACTGCTATGTCCCATGAAACTATGACCCTAAACCTCCAAACTAGGGAAACAAATCCCATGAGGTGTTTGGTTGTGCATCTTCCTTCTTTCCTTCCCGGGTACAGTTAAGAAATGGTCTCAGCAATTGAAAAAAGCACTGTTCCAATTATTTGAAATTTTTGGGATAATATAATTAAAAGCTGTAAGAGATGCTTCCTTTTTTTAAATCGATGAAATCTAGTACCTGTTTTTTTGCTTTTAAAACATTGATTATATCAATTCTCTACCATAGATTTGGTATGAATAAACTTAATTTCTTAGCATGATTCACATTCTTTATAGATATCTTCACCTTGCATAGTTTAATTTTTAAAAACCCCTTAATGCTTATCACTATGGAATAGATTTATCACTTTAAAATTAGTGCGGTAAACAGACATTTTACCAAGTTGTTTCCTGTTGTATAATAACACTTTTGTTTTATTAGGGAGGCAGCTTCTAACAATGAAACCATGGCAACAATTCTTCTTCAAAACTTGTTAATACAACTGGATGAACAGTTAGGTCGCGTTTCCAAAGAGAAAAACCTGCTCTTGATACACAATCTAAAAAGAATTAGGAAAGTCCTTCAGGTGAGAATGTATTCTAATTTTAAAAAATATTTGGATTTATGAGTCTTACATTCAGTTATAAAAAAGTCATGTATGTAACCTTCTATTATTTTCAAACCAGGTTTAAGGGAAAAATCTGAGTTCTTTAATTATTTTTAAATTTTGTGCTGAATTTTATTTCATTATCCAATACCTGTTTTTCGAGAAAAAATTTTTGAATGCAAAATACACTATCAGCAAGAAGGGGTGTGTGTGTGCGTGTGTGTGTGTGTGTGTGTTTTGTGTGACAGTTGCATATGACTTAAGTTTTCCAGATGCAATCAAATTGAACAACATCAAATCAGGGATTAAAAAGATAATAATCAGTTTCCTCACTATCCCCCCAGCTCTTCCTTGCTTTATTCTCTTATGCAATAATTTATAGTTGGTATTGTTAACATTCATAGGTGGTAGCATCATGGATGTATGTAGTCTTCCAGATTTGGTTCAAATCTCACCTTCTTTAAAAGTGTTCTTTGGCCGCTATCTCAAAGGTTTACCAGGCAAAGATCTCTCTTGTATTCCTACACATCTGTATTTAGTATATTCTACATTATTGCCATTTCTATGTGTTTGTTCTTCCCCAGACTATGGGATTCTTGAAGCAAGGACTCCAGTATTCAGCTCTGAATTTCCAGCACTCAGTATAAGGCCTGACACATAGTAGACATGTAATATTTATTGCTTAAAGGAACAAATAAATGAAGTGAGTGAATCAGTGATCTAAAGGATTAAGGGTAGGCTAATACTGAGCTAAACCCGGAGGTTCTTATGTGACAGACTCTGAACACTAACTACTGTAGTATTTACTGAGTGCCTACGATCTATTAGACAACAAAGGGAGTGTATTTTTAGAATATTGTTCCCAGACTATAATAGAAATGTGCTGGAAAATAAAGCTTCTTACATTTGTGAGAGGGCCATATACATTTGTTTTTCCTATTGTTGTTATGAGTTGCACTGAGCCATCTTTGCCCTTGTAATCCCCTACAAATTTGCAAGACACTAGTTGGGAAGGTAGGAAAGTAGCCTGGTGCCAAAAAAAAAAAAACCCAAAAATTTTCACTGCGTAAAGAAAGCTGTCTTTTATGGGGGAGAAGACATTTAACCTTGGCCCCATTAGCTTAGTGCTTTAATCAATAAGCTTAAAACAGGAATCGGCAAACTCTGGCCCACAAGTCAACTCTGGCCCACTACCCAATACCTGTTTATATACAATTCATGATTAAGGATGGCTTTTACATTTTTAAATGGTTGAAAAAATACTACCTGGTGACACATAAAAATTACATGAAATTAAAATTCCAATGTCTAGAAATAAAATTTTATTGGAACACAGTCATGCTCATTCGTGTCTTGTCCATGGCCGCTTTTGTGCTACAATGGCAGAGTTGAGTAGGTGCCGCAGAGACCATTGGCCATAAAGACTAAAACACAAATATCGCGCGTGTGCGTGTGTGTATTATGTATTTCTCTGGCCTGTTATAGAAAAAATTTGCTGAACCCTGATCTAGAAGCAAAGTTCCTACAGGTCACTTTGCTAGAGGGGCACAGAAGGATAAAGTGTATTCAAATTCTGGCTCTCAATATGGCCGTGAGCAAATCACTTACTCTTTCCAAAGTCCTTGTATCTTTTCATGTAAATGAGAATGATTGTTACCTACCTTTTATGATGTGAGGAAGACTAGAGCTTTTATTCTGGCAGACAGTAGGCTTTCAATAAATGGTACTCGTTGGTGAAGAAAATAAACCACTGTCGTTGAGTCGATTCTGACTCACAACGACCCTATAGGACAAAGTAAAACCGCCCCACAGGGTTTCCACTGTAAATCTTTACTGAAGCAGACTGCTGCATCTTTCCCCCATGGAGTGGCTGGTGGATTCCAACTGCCACCTATTGGTTAGCCAGCTGACTGTTTTAACCACTGCACCATCAAGGCTCCTTGATGGAGAAAATAGTATCTTTTCAGTGTAAATCAAGGCTAAGTATACCGTTTATCTTTTTTTCTGTGTGGGAAAAGATTGTAAGGGGTGCACTTCTCTTCTTTCCAATCCTATCAGACCAATCTTGTAAAACATCATTTCTATCTCACTGCTCCACTACTCAAGAACTTGCAGTAACTCCCAGTTACGTTCCAGCTCATACACAAGCTCTTATTCTTGTGTCATTGGTCCTCCAGCATCTGACCTCTTTATACCTTTCCCAACAAATTTCCTGGGGCTATTCAACATTTCTATCTCAGAAAAATAAAATCTACTCCCTGTTCCCAAACACACTAAGCTCATTCATTAATGACTCTGAGCCTTTGTCCATGATGGTCGCATGACCAGGAATGCTCTAGCATCTCTCTTCCTCCAGCCCAGTTCTAGAGAACTTGCTTCGGTCCTAGCACAGTAAGGACACCTTCGCCATACCTTTCAGCCCTTGCCCTCATCCATCACA